ATGTCTATTCATGGTCGTCAGCGGCTTCAGCGCATCCCAGATTATTTGTGGGTCCGCATTCGTCTTGCTACAGATGTGCTTGACGATGCCAGGGATTGCACTTCGGATCAGCTCGTCGACGTACACGTTGACCTGCGCGTGGACGAGGGCATGGTTGGCACGACCGGGCCGAGAGCGTCGTAAATCATGACCTCCCGTGCATTGGTTGGTCTCAAGAGGCGGGGTAGTGTGTCTGTTGCGCCATCGACGCACTTAGTCATGACCTGCTCGTCGTCGATTGAGTCGTCACCGGTGACCCCCATGGCCATTTCGAGGAACTCCTTGACGTCTTGGAGCGTCTTTGCAACCGGCGGTTCTGCAAGGGACTGCGGAACGTCCGACCACGCCGGGTAAACCGTGAAGTCGTCGATCAAGCCCGCTTCGTCAAGATCCGCTGGAAGCGGCTTCCACTCGAATTTCCCGCCTTCGAATACATCAGGATCCTGGAGGCTCGCCGACGGCCTCTATGACTTTGGCCCGCCGCTCACGCTGAGCCTGGCGTTGCTTCAAGAACTCGGTGACCTACATGTGTGCGCGCACCCTAGTCAGTTAGTGACAGACGCACATACACAGCGACGTACATTCCACATCTGCGCGATGGCCGTCTTCGCCATCTGGTCCAGGACGTGCTTCCCTTTCTTCGGCTTTGGGGCACCAACAGAGTGCTCAACGTGGAACACGGGCAGCTTCACCAGCGCAGCGAACACCTTCTGGATGGCAGTCTCCTGCTTCTCCTTCTCCTTCTCCTTCTTGCTCTTGTCCTGACCGCCCTTCCCTGCGCTGCCCTTCACGGCCATCGCGCCATTTGCAGACTTGCCAACAGACGAGGGACCTGCCGTCGCGGCGCCGCCATCATCCTGCTGCTCTTCACGACGCACACCAGGAGGAGGAAGCTCGCCGGCAAACACCCGCTGCACGTCCGATGGTACCTTGACGGCTTCTGCGTGCTCCGTCACCGACTCTTGCCCTTTCGCGTACCACTCCGGATCCGCGTATAGTTTCACATTCTGCACCCACGCAGCCTCAGGCTTGACATAGTCCCACCATTCGTGTACTGCGGGCTGCCCACTCGGTAGCACCATCATGTACTCGCTCAACAGAGCGCCATACTTGATACGGAAGAAGTGGATGGCCGGACCGAACCACCTACCTCCACGTCCATACATCAACCACGCAGCCGCCATCTCAATCACACATGTCACCATGACAGGGAGGAGTTGGCGCTTCGAGCCCCTGACTTGAGTCTTGCCCTCTGACACGGGCAGAGCCGTGCGCATGACCGCGCGCATGCCGAGCACATCTTCCTCGAGCCCGGGCAAGTTCCGAAGCGCATCTTGCCGGTGCTTCATGATCGCGTTCTTCAGCGGGACATAGTGAGTCATGCAGAGCGAGAGATGGTTGGCAATGCTGAAGTCGGGCGCGAAATCAGCCACTGCCGTCTCCGCAATCATCTTCACCGCGGTGGCCTTGAGTTCGTCCGCGTCGCCTACTACAGTCTTCTCCGTGTAGACTTCAAACGTCGTAACGAACCACTTCTTCGTGTTCCCGCGAAGGGCGACCACCTGCGGCAGGTCAGTTGTCTCTTCATGCAGGATTGCGGCAAAGCTGTGCCTGTCGGCCAGCCACTCCTGCGCAATCTGTCAAGATAGAATACAGTTAGCATGCTCCATTTGCGCACGCGCTCCGACTGAGACGACTCACCGCCCACTGTACGCTGTCCGGTGACATCCAGTCCGTTGCCCCCGCCTTCATGTTCGCATACGTGGTGACCGCATAGAGCGCCGCGATCGTCGCGTCGACATTGATGTTGCGGATGTCGAACATCCAACGGTGGTAGACCAGCGGCTCAAAAAGCCATGCAATCTGTGTACCGTAGCACGATGTCAGTATGCATGTCCCTGCGCCCAGATGTGCGCGCACACGCACCCTCTCCCAACCTCTCGAATACAAAAGACACTCGTCGGTGAGCAGCCGAAGCAGGGACGCGCAGAGAAATGGAAGGGCAGGGGTAAACTCCTCGTCACCCTTGATGTAGGACCAGCCGTAGTACAAGAAGGTAATCCGTCCACTGACCGCGTCAAGTGACGACGGCACATGCGGCCCTTCATCATCGTCAGACACCTCCGACCTCGGTACAAGCTGCCCCGTCATCGTGTTGCCGTATCTTGACATCATCTTGAAAGCCGCCGACGAGCGGACACCCAACAGCTTCGAGTTCTTGATCTCGTCTGACGTCACGCGCTCGACGGTGTCGAGCATCGCGTCCGTCCAGATTGTGTACCGCGGCGATTTGGCCCCGGCGAAGAAGCGACGCTTGAGTGAATCGTATTCAGTGCTGACCGCGGTGTGGATGTTCCCACCGTCCTCTGCGTCGAGCACGAATGCGTTCGATTGTTCCGTGAGGAAAGCTGCTGCGTCTGTGGTCTTGCCTTCTCCGAGCAGTGAGAAGTACCTGCTGCGCATCAAGCGAGCCATGTTGTACTTTGCGCAGGTTCTCTCGACAACGTCCGACGAGTCGAAGGCGGTGGCTGAGCCAACGATACCCATCAGCCAGAAGACACGCAGTAGCGCGAAAGTGAAGACCTAGGAGTAGACACGCATGAGAAATGGGTGCGCGCACACACAACAGACCACTCACGCCTCCGGAGATCTTCAGAATCTTGGCCCAGGTGCTGAACTTGAAGAAACCGTTATCGTAGAAATAGTGCGCCATCTTGTCTCGGTCCGCGTGGATGACTTTCGTGAGCGACGACAAGAAGTGACGGACCGGCTGCACGGTGTACATCTCGGTCAGCGTCGTTTTGATGTGGCTGCCCGATGCCTTTGTCGACCCCCCCCGGATGCCGCTGACCATGACCGCCAGGCGCGTTTGGAGCTGGGTTGGCGAGTCTCGAAGCCCGTGCAATTCAACCATGTGCGAGCGAAGCAGATCTTCGCTCGTCTCGACCTTCTCAGAATAACCCACGTTCTGTGCGAGCCATCCGGCCGCAGCGCGATCGCCAAGGTCATCTGCCAGAGATAAGTCGATGTTTTCGCGGGAGGAGCGGCGGCGCGTGCAAAGTGCTCACCCCATATGTACACATCTACAAGCCAGCAGCCTTGCTGGCGGAGCTGTCTCTGCAGCCTCTCACAGCGTAGCTCCAGGTCTGGGATGTCAGGGTCACCAGGCTCTAGCTTCGCGAGGTCGACCTTCGCCTTCTCCCACACTGCGACTGTGTCCGCAAGGAACCTGATGCTCGCAGAAATTCGGTGCTGACCGACAATAACGTACACCGGGCGCGGAGCTCCGTCCTTGCCTGGTTTCAAGGTGACGAATGGAAGCGTTTTCGGGTGCGTCACCTGGCCATCCACTTTGAAGTCGATGGCATCACGTTCGACTGCAATCTTGATGCGGTGCCCGTAGACGAGATGCTGGTAGGTGTTCTTTTTGAAGTCAATCAACAACTTTTTGATGTGGTTATCGTCGAGGTCGCGACTGTTCACCTCACGCGTGACGATCTTGACGTTGTCATGCGCCGCGAAGAACGGCAGCGTCGCGAGCCGCGCAGGACCGTAAAACGCCTTCCGCAGCGTCTCTTCATAGCCCAGGATGATGTCTTGCGAAACATCCTGCACAGCGAGACTCTGATCCACGAGATCAGTGGACAGATTTCAGACAGCAAGCCCTGAGCGTGCGCACCGTAGACCCCACTGCATTGTCTATGTCATCCTCTTCCTCCTCCTTCTGCTTTCTGCGCTTCCCCTTCGACAGCGGTGTCTTCGACTGGGCTGGAGCCGGCTCCTCCTGCGCTGTGCCCCGTGCGATACTGTTTCTCTTCTTCCGAGAGACTGTGGGACCCATTCTGGTACGTCTGTGTCGAATGCTGATTATCAGATGTATGGTGAGCACACGACAAACAGACGGGGACGCAACACTTACAGGTTCGAGCAGAGGTGCGATGGCGACAAGACGGTGAGAGAGGAAAAGTTTGGTGCGCGCGATACGGGAGTTACCCGTGCCGCATGTAATGCGCATGCATTCATCATCTGATGCGCGTACGGTCAGCGGCGGGTCGGAATACTAACCGCGTGAACTCACAATTATTTAATATCATACGCTAAGACTTGTCGACGGGGACTGTAAGGAGAGCGGTATGTATGTCACTGGCGTATCAGATGACTGTGCGCGCACAAGTACGGCGACACAGACAGAGCCCCTACACAATGGGTGCCTTGGATGTGGACGTGCGTCACCGCGTGTGTCCACATGTGAGACGCATAGATGCCCTACCAGACAGGCTAATGATCAGGCCTCCAAGGTGAACACTTACGATGATGCGCATCCGTTTTACGACACAGACGGGTCCAGGGTAGGTATAAAGTCACAGCGTGCTGTTATAATGGCTATGGAAGGGGCTTGAAGTGTGAAGATACGCGAGCGCATCTTCACACTTTCGCCCGCACTCCTAACCCTACACACACCCCTACAAAGCGGTCTCGATGTGAACGTGCGCGGTCGCGCGTGTCCACACTTCCAACGCCCTAAGTAGGGGCTCTGACAAGTGCCCGGATGCGTGTCAGATTCGTGAACACGCGCGTGCGCGCACCTCCACATATCTGACACGTATCACAGGCGACTTAACACATGCTTGCTGTACAGCAAGACTGTGAATGTGGACACGCGCGACCGCGCATGTCCACAAATCAGACATATTGTACGGGTGTGTAATGGTTCTCTCACCGGTGCTGTCGATGTGGACACGCGCGATCGCGCACGTCCACATCTCAGACTCGTTCAGAGACGCTGATGACTCGCTGAAAGGTGGACGTGCGCGGTCGCGCGTGTTCACACGTGTGACACGTGGTGGGCGTCTAATGGCTGCCCTACAGTGCTGTAGATGTGGACGTGCGCGGTCGCGCCTGTCCACAAATTACATGCATGTGGTTTTTGTCTGTTGAGAAGGGTCAACATCCGCGCGCAC